ATAAAAGACCAGTCCGGACCGGTCCTCAAAATATGGACCGAGGACCGCAAGGACCGGTCCTATTAACCGGTCTAAGATCGGTCTTACCAGGACCAATCCATCCCTATGAAATGGTGATAAAACTGATCTTTTTTGAAAAATGAAACCTTTTAGAGTTTTAGCATTAGTTCTTTTAGTAGGTCATAAAAAAGAAAAATCTTATATTATAATATTTTGTACAACAAATACAACTGGAACAGAAAAAATGACACTTACATTTATAAATACCAAACTCCTCACGTCATGAAAAATATTAATTATAAAATCTTTCAGTTTACTGTTTTAGAATAATAAAGCTAGGATGCAGGATGATATTTATAATGAAATTCTTATTAAACTTAATGAAAAAATGAGGCGAAAAAATAGAAAGATTATTTTTTTAGTTGATAATGTACTAGTACATATTATTTTAGATAGAACTTAAGAAAGATTAAATAGAGTAGAAGTGAAATTTCTTTTACCAAATATCACTACTGAACTATGCAGACATTATAAATTCATTTAAATACCATTATAAATGTCTTATTATTCAAAATCAGATTAATGCATATGATAATATGCAGGATGATATTGTAGATGAGCTTGAAAATTATACTATCTATAATGCTTTACTAAATGCAGCTGAAGCATGGTCTATGGTATCGCCTCAAACAATTTCAAACTGTTGGATAAAACAAGTAAATAATGAAATTGAAGAAACACCTGAAAATTATGATACGGTAATTTCCGTTAGGTAAAGTATATATAATTTATAAATATGAACTCTATTAAAAATTTATTAAAATATTAATTATAAATTTATTTTTAAGTGTTGATATAGAAATTGAAGAACTTGATATGTTAATTTTCAACTTCGAAAAGTGACCTTAATGCATGCGAATATCTTCATAAATGTAGAAGATGCAATGCCAAAAAGTGGTCTAACTGATCATGAAATAATTGATGCTATATTAAATATAAATAAGAAAAGGATATGATGGATGAAGATGAATTTATACCTATATTAGAAAAAGTTAGTTTAATAGAAGCGGAAAATGCTGCAGATAAAATAATAAGGTTTTTATATGAGCAAGAGCCAGAATTTGGCGAAGTAAATGAAGAATTAGAAATTCATAAGGATTACAAAAGCGAGTGAAGTTCTAAATTATAAAAAATTTAAAACAAGTAACATGTAATGTATTACTTTTATAATATGTAATAGTTTTAAATATAATAAAATAACTAATTACGTTTGAATTTATTGGTCAATTTATATACCGAACAGTTCGGTATAAAACACGAATTTATATAGCGAACTCACTCTATAACGAACCAAACGTTCTGGAACGGCTGGTTCGTTATATCCAGAGTCGACTGTAGGGTAGATAGAAAACCGGTACGGTACGATTCGCCAGACCAGTACGGTACGATTATGCAGATCAGTAATTTGACATCGTACCGTCCTATAATAATTATATAACCAATCCAGTACGATGATGGTATAGACTGATTTTATAAAATTCGTACCGTACTGGCCCTATAATAACTAAGCCCTATTATAGGGCCAGTACGGTATGGTACGATGTGCATTTTTGTATTTTTATTTTTTTTTTATCTAATATATTTTTTATATTTTTTAATTTTTTTTTAAATTCCTTCCCAGTATATATATATATTTTTAATTGATTTTTTTTTTCTTTATTTATATTTTATTATATTTTTTTTTAAATCCCCCCCACGGACTTTTTATTTTTTTTTAATTAATTTTATTCACCTACGGACTTTTTTATTTTATTTTTATTTCTATTTTTTTTTTATTATTTTTATTCCCCTCCCCGCCGAACCTTTTATTTTTTTTTTAATCTTTTTTTCTTTTTTTTCTTTTTTGTTTATTTTAAATAGTACTTTTCTTATTATAAAATATTTGTATTTTATTGTATTTTATTATCGTTATTTGTATTTTTTAATAAATAAATAAATTTAAATTAAAATAATTTTAAATTAAATATTAATAAATTATTAAGTTA